TCTCTCTCTCTCTCTCTCTCTCTCTCTCTCTCTCTCTCTCTCTCTCTCTCTCTCTCTCTCTCTCTCTCTCTCTCTCTCTCTCTCTCTGTCTCCTTTTTCCTTTTTTTTTCACCTTTTCTTCCTCTTTCTTCTCTTTTTTCTCGTTTTTCTCTTTGTTGCTCTCTCTCTCTCTCTTCTCTCTCTCCCTCTTCTCTTGCTCTATCTTTTTCTCTATTTTTCTTTATTATTCCATTTTTCTTTTGTGTCTCTCTTGTTAATTACTTTTTTGATATGTGCTCGATGTGTGCCCTGGTTGCCTTCCTTCCGCTGTCTTTCTCCTTCCCTTCCCTTATCTCCGCCTTTGCCTGGTCTCCTCTTCTAACACCGCCTCCCTTCCTTTTCCCCTGTGGTCCTTTTTCCTTTCCCTCTCGGATCTCCTTTCTCTGTCGGCATCTCCCTGTCTTGGGGTCTCCCTTCCCCCTCGATCTTTTTCCTCTCTGGGACCCTGGGATCTCTTTCTCCCTAGGCCTTTCCTGCTCTGGGACCTCCTTTGTCGTGCTGGTGTTCCTCTCCCTGGGTCTCCCTTTCCCCTGTCCCTCACCTGTGTGATCTACCTCCCCACCCTGCGGTCCCTTCTCCCGCCCTTAGGGTTTGCCTGGGAATTCCCCCTCTGTGACTTCCTCCATCCTCTGTGGTTGTTTTTTCCACCCCCTGGGGTCCTTTCTAGGTCTACTCCCTTGAGGTCTTTTGTCAGGTCTCCCTTTCATGCTTGGGTGTCCCATTTCACCTTGGGGTCGGACTTCCTCTAGGGGTCTTCCTTTCCCCGTTGTTTTTTTTTTCATCCCTGGGGGCTCCGTTTTGCCTTGGGATTTTGTGTCACCCCCTGTCACCCCCTTGGGGTTTTCCCTCCCCCTTTTGGGGCTAGCCTTTCCTCCCCTGGGTTCTTTCTCCCCTTTCTCTGTCTGAGGTGTTTCTCCCCCTATTGTTTCCTCCTGCCCCCCTCTTCCCCCTCCTTTCTCCCACCTGGGGTTCCTTTTCCTTTCTGAGATCTCCCTGCTCTCCGTGGGATTTTTGCCTGGCCAGGGCCGCTAATTCTCTCTCCCTTTTCTCCTTCTCGCTCGTTCTGAGGTCTCCCATTTATGTATCCTGGAGTCTCCCTTTTCTCTTCCTTCCCCGAGGTCTCCCTTCTTAG